TTGCTCTCACCTGAGAGGTACTGTGTCAGTAAAGCTAACGGAACTTTCCAGACGGAGTGACGTACGATCATTGCACAATCGAGGCACCGTGGCAGGACACTGCGCTCTCTCTGTCTACCTCCGGTGTCTCTGGTGATCTGTTCTGGCAGCTCGGCACGACTCTCAGTTATGGCCAAACGTCCGATGACGGGAATACTATCTTCACGGGTACTAGTGACTGGACTTGCTTGGTGACGGACCACGTAGCCGCTATTTAATAAGCAGAAGTTTCGGATCTTGTTGAGGTGATACGGATGGACTGAGCTTCCAACTGAGTTCAAAAGACTGTGGTATCTTGTTCACGGCTGTTCCATATAATTGTATTTCCCAATTGCATGGGGATTAATTTACTCGTTCGTGAAACATCATTCTTACAATAACTCATGATATTTCTCTAGTTTAATGAGACAAAGGATGGAATAGTTACAAGGAGCAGCTAACGATGCCTCGATTCATAAATCTTGATCAAGTGAAGATAGAGAGAGCAAGTCCGCGCTCATGCCCAGGATATCATATAACGCCTGTGGCATAAAAAATAAACTGTAACTATATACCGCTTAATATATGCACTTTAAACTTATTCGAGGTTTCATGATCCACGGATAAACTGCTATGACCTCGTATGTTTCTTGTCACCCTGTTGCTCTTCTCTCTGTCCGGATGGTATCCTCGGCCGTACGCCTAACTTCTGCAGAATCTTCACACTCGCTTTATTCTCCTCGTGCTTCCTCTCTTCGATCTCTCGTTCCTTTTCCAGCACTCGCCTCTCCTTCGCGGCACTCTGACTCTTATCCCACGCCTCCTCTTCCATCTTCTTCAACTCCTCGGGCTTTAAAACCTTCATCTTCTTCACACTGACCTTCCTAAGCGCCTCCTTCCCCTTCCGCCGCGTCTTGACGTACATCTCGAGTCCCACCAGTACGGCATAGCTGCGGCTGATGCTGACATGTGACATGTCGACGCCCTCGTCCTCTAAGCTATGCACAAAAGCCCGGAAGTTCGCCGCAGGAGGGCGATAGTGTCCCGAGAGAGGCGAGAGGCTGGATAATCTGCCGTCTTTGATCTTGATGAGCCCGGCGGCCGAGATCCGCGCCCCTTGTAGGAAAGAGCTGTGCTGGAACGCACCGCTCGCCTTGATCCCCACGTATAGTCGGAATGAGGTGTCTGCGACGAAGATCCACGTATTCTTACGCACTGATTTGCGCAATAGCCTGTTGAAGATGGTCGCGGCTGACACATGCTTGACCTTCTTGACGCCTTTCGCCTTGTCGAGCTCTACGTTGGCGTATTTTGCGGCTCTGGCGGCTTCGAGCTCATTTTCTCGTGATGAGCAGCTGATGGAACTTGACCGTGAGCCAGAGTGGTCTCGATGGCGGTCTGAGTTATTGTGTGCCCTGTCTTGCGTGTGCCTCTCCACCTGGGGTGCGAAAGCCGGTGTTGGGTCATCTACTGGTACTATTCCATGAATGCTGTCTTTCCATTCTTCCGTAGTATCTATGCGGATTCCATTTTTCGCCCATACGAGCCGGCCCTCGTGATCGACTTTAACTAGATAATGCTGTCTCTCCTCGCGGTTCAGATACCGTACACATTCCCGATCTAGCCTCTCCCGCGGGCACGACGGCAGGTCTAAGTCCTTGCCCTCGCCATCATCTAGCCAGTAGAAGAAGTTCTCATTCGTGTCTGATCGTTTCCACTCTTCGTGATATGTGCGCAGGTTTGAGCCATACCGGTGCTTCAGATCCACCATTTCGAGGAAATACTGTAGTCCCATCATCCGTGCGTGTTTTCGCCGCTTCGCCTGCGCTTTTCCCCTTTTCAGCCGCGCGGCTTCGCGCTTCGTGGTGTCCATACGCGCTAATTCCTCACTGCCAGGCGACAAAGACGAGTCACTTGAGGTAGAATGATCTGAATCCTCATCGCCGCCGGCCCTCCGCGCGATCGTGGCTACTTTCATCCAATTCCGGCGTGCATGGGATCTGCTTGTGCTGGGCCTATTCATACTATCGCTGTTCCCATCGTCGACGCTAGGAACCTGGTCTTCCCTCGCCCGAGGCTTCGTTACTTCTCTCCATTGCGCATCCCGGATTGCGTGTGTCCACCGCGTGCTTGCATCTAGTCCCAACCCCTGCATCTCCCGTCGCACACGATATCCGCGATAACTGCGTTGGATAACTTTGGCAGCTTTGACCGTTAGGGGCTCGTGATCTTGCCTCTCGTCTGCAGCTTTATTGTCACCGTTGTCATCGGTGTTGTTAACCTGCTGCCGGGAGTCTGATGATCCAGGTATTCGATGGCTCTGCGCCGCTTCGTTCAACTTCCCCCTATCGTCCTCTTCCAGAACCTTGGCCTTCATGAAATCACGTCGAGCTTCCATGCTCTTGCGCGTAGTCACCTTAACACGACGACGCAAATCGTTATCACGGTATCTGTGCTCCTTTTCCTTTTCTTCCTGGACCCTGCACAGCCGGTCAAAATCGTGGTCAGACGGCGGTTGTAGGGAGTCCATATACTGCTGGTGAGGCGATGGCGTCAATTCCGACTGCTCAGGCTCACCTGCTGCCGTAGAAAGACGCAGTGGTGAGGTTTGATCTGGTAAGGATGGCGAGGATGGAGATCTGCGGTCTGTTATGGTATAATCCACTGGCTTTTCTTCTTGGGCTTTCTCAGTGGAGTTTTGCGCCTTGGCCATCTTTGAATAGAACACACAAAGGAGGTTTTATATTTCTTGAGATTGATGCGACTATGTTCCGGTTATAGATGGGTCGTCCGTGGCGGCGTTTTGGTGTGCTTTGGCGGAGACTTTATATCGGTAGTCATGATCGGCCTCTATACCACTAAGGTCCCGAACTAAACAGGTGTAACGAGCACAAATTCCTTTACTATCTATGTACAGTTTAAGAAGAAAGGCCGTCTTGATGTCTGCCTCAAATTATAGGAAGTTTATTTTAGAAATACACATTTCGAAAGAACAGTCGATAAGTACCTATTACCGGCACATGTAAGTAGCCATTCGCGCTCGAAATGACGTAATTGGCCATCACAACCGGTTCTCGGCATCCTTTTCATATACGTAGGCATGTAGGCGAGGTAGTGTACCGTTGCTATCCATTACTTCTGTCGGTTTTTAAATCCACCCCTGGCAGCTCCCAACCTACCCGGCAATAAACGGATCTCCCAAGGTGCTATCTAGGGTGCCAGATTTCTGGAGCAACTTTATTTCGACTGCGTCGACGTGGATAATCACTTTATTAAGTTGTGTTATTTCACGAGCCCGATCGGAACAATCTTGGAGTTGTGAGGTCTGCTTCTTCTTGATTCCTTCTTAGATAAGAGATTCAGAAATAGAAGTACAACACAACTTAGTCAAAAATCCATACACTTCCCAGGAGATAGTCAACATAAGACACGACTTAATGCCCGACGACGACCACAAAGAATTGCCAATTAGATATTAGCGTCGGGAAAATCGGTCATGATATCGAAGTTGCGATGACATTATGGTGGAAGTTGAGGTTGTGGCTTGAGTGCGGATGAAGGTACGGCACAAATGGCTTTACATTCTTGAACATCAAAGATAGCACTGACTTAAGTTGTATGAGCCGAGCCTAAATAAAAGAAGTCGAAGCGAAACTCTACTTACCAACATGGGGTCAGTAAAGTTACTAGCATCTAGAGAGTAATCAATGAGGATTCTAAATTCAGGAAAAGTGAACAGGCTTCTGATCACCTTCAGCAAGAAGGTACGTCTACATTATGGTATGAATGGCTAAAATATCTAAACCATTGTTATTAACATAAATTACTCTTCGGTCCCTTAAAGTCTATAATTTCCCATTGGCAACGGCAATTCCATTAAACCAATTTGAATATTTGGTATCAAATCCACTTAATTTTGTGAGTATCCCGTAATGATGCTACGCGAGGAACGTCAATGCCACTTGTACTGATCATGCTTTCATTATAGTTAACGCCTATTCAAATCATTGCCTCGAAGAAGCCAAGGTGCGAAGCCATTGTGTAGTGTGGGATGTAAGCTCCGAGAGCAAAGCCTGTTGCTACAATTTTAAGAGTTGCCTGTGTATCAACCGAACATCCCAAGATTGCCAACTCCTTAATTACCATGCATTGAGTTCTATATGAATTTTCGAACGTCTTGAGAAGAAGGGTTTTAACAAGACCCATGTTGGACTATATGCCTGACCTATCAAGAATGGAGGGGTTTTCTGGACCTTAGGCTACGAATGATTTATTGAGGTTGGCTCGCGTAGAATCTAAGGAATATTCATAGAAGCAAGGTCTTTTATTTCAAGCATGTGAGCCTACTGCGTAAACTAAGCATCATGAGGCAATATGTAATATTCAGAATCCGATGTTAGAGCACCCATCCAGAGAGAGCAAACAACAAAAAAAGGAAAAAGGAAAGCAGTACAGAATATACTAGGTAGTTACATATGTAGTACGTAGTACCTCCAAGATAGGTAACCTGAGCCATGCTGCTTTTAACCTGAGCCAGACCTAAGCATAACCCACAATTACGTTTATTATGTTCGAGCGACTTCCTAGGAAGTCACTTAAACGGATCACTTAAACGGATCACTTAAACGGACCGTTTTATAATAAACGGTATTTGCTTTTGGAGTGAAATCTACCTATCCTTCTCTCCTTTCCTTTCCTTCTTCAGGCAGAATATTTACATAGAAATATACAGTTCTGATTATTGTATCAGACTTCTGTTCTTTTGTTTGTCACATCATACAAGCGCTACCGCTGAACCCTCTGACAAGCGCTCTTACCACAACACTCTTTCCACCCACGCTCGTTTTGACACTTTTCCACCCACGCTTCTTCCGCACTTTCCTACTACAACTGCCCCTATTAGCGGGCATTAGGGTATTGCTATCTGCTGCCTACCTTACACTTTATAAGTTTGTTTAATTGAACAGCTTTCAACAGAAAACCCCAGGGTGGTGTAATAGTAGCATCCCTAGTTGACACATGGTTGAAGGGGTTCGTGTAGTAAACCATGCCCTTCGGGGGCCAGGGGATCCGGGTTCAAATCTCGGTCCTGGGATAATTTTCTCTCTCTTTCTTTTTTGGAGTTCTATTTAATCGCGGTTATAAAATTTTTTTTATTGTCTTATTAAAAGCCTGCAGATATATATATTTTATCTTTTGGCATAGTACCTAGGTAGTTAGCTAGCTAGCTACTCACTCCTACTACACTGGCCGAAAGCATCTTATCTAAGGTCTGGAGTCGTACTGGTACGGCGCCAGCAGCTGTACTGGTTCGAATGTTGTACTGGTCCGTGGTCTCAACCCGTGCTGGTACGCATATCGTACCACTATGTGCTTAGTTATCTAAATCAACGTGAATTTCAATGTTTGCAACTGTTTACTGTACCAACATCCGTTTTTAGAGCTCGAACCGACGAGTCGTAGCTGTTTAAGTGTTGTCGGTAACTTAATTATACCCCTACACGTTTCCTGCCGGGTTAGTGAGCTCGATCATATATTGTACTGCTAACTCTCGGCGCCGAATCTGTCGGGTAAGGCGCGCTGGTGACGGTCGACCAATCTATACGGGGCTGTGAATAGCATGTGTCATGTCGGGTGTACCCCTAAGCCGCAGGGACCCAAACAAAGCCCGTGGCGCATTTGACAGGTACTGTATCCAGCGCTGTAGCACACTAATGGTGCCCTGTAGGGTGAATCCGAATTCTACTAACTGACTGCCTTACCAAAGTTGTTATACTAGATTTGTGATAAGGTATTATTGAAATTAATTTACTTTAGCATTTCAGAGCTCAATTGAAATTGTGAATCATTGGAACTCTCATAAAGTTAGCCTTCAGTGTTCACTTTCAAGGTTCACCCGTAGATATAGTACCTACCTACCTAAGTACTTACCACCCATTAGTGTAGGAGCCAGTGCCACTAGGTACGGTAAGTTCTCACCTAACAGGTAGGCACTTATTGGGGGAATCCGACCTACTGGGTGGGGAGTCTAGCTATAATCCCCTAATTTACAGGTCAATTGGTTTTGTAAGGAGGTGAAGAAACTGGGAATTCAATCATCTACGCAACAAGGGGAAATAGGGAAAAAAAAAACCGAACACTGTCCAACTCGCATAACAATGGTCACATTGCCAGCTACCTCCGATGGCAATTGCTTTCCCGCGACGATCTGAAGGGTTCCAGCGGTCACGTCCGAACCAGAGACACGCTCACCAGGCGCAACAACAACAGCAGCGGCACCAGCAGCAGCAGCAACAGGAACAGCGCCACCCTCCACCGGCTGCTCGTATGAAGCGCCTACTCGATCCCATTGACAGTCTGAGCGACCCTCTCACGGCCAAGAGGACACGTATAGCGGTTGAGATCTTCGCGAGACCGCTTGGTCAAGCCCTCGGCCCCTCCAAGCCCGTTCTAGTGAACCGGCAGCGTTCCACGACGCAGCCCGCGCAACTCGCGTCGTCCCAGAAACCCGACCGACCCTCTCCGATCGCCACCAATCCCCTCCCTCCTGTCCCTCCTCCTCCTCCACCCACCTCCATTCCCACGCCTGTTGCTGTCCCTACCACGGCTGCCCCCCCTCAATCCCGCTCGCCGCCCCCCCCTCCGGTAACGACGACGACGACGACTACGACTACGACGACGACGACAACGGCGGCGACGGCAACGGCGGCAGGCAAGGAACATGGCCTCAAGAGACGTCAGGAGAAGGCCATCAATGGCATCCGACACGAATTGGGCCGTTTGCAACCGAGTGCCGCTGACGCCAGCTCTGCTGCCAACGGCCCGCCGGGCCGCAAACTGCGCTCGCAGGAGGCCACCCGCTTCAAGAGCGAACTCTCGGCTTATTTCCCCGAGTATGACGAGGTGATTGGGAATGATCCCAAGGAACAACGTACGTTAAGATGCCGTGTCAATGCAGTATCGGCTCTACTCACCACGCACAGCGCATTTATGCGTGCTCCACAACCGCATTTGCTCACTCGCACGTACCTCCATGCTAATCCCCATCGTTTTCTCGATCTAGACCTGCTCAATGCCGACACACCTATCATCATTCTTGACGCCGAAGACGAGCCATCGGATGTCATCGCGACTACCACCACTTCTCCATATCAGCCTTCGACTCATTTCGAACCACGACCCCATTTTTCCATGGTGCGAGTGTATAGTGATCGTCTATTTACTGATTTGCACAATTCTCCGACCTTCAACCTCGACTTCCCCAGAGCAGACCGCATTGAAAGCGACCTAGAAGACCCATTGCCAGATTCACATTTTGCACCGGCACATAGAAGGGCCGAAAGGCTAGAGAAGTCAATCAGGAATACAGAAAGAGGTCGCGCCCAGCATGAGAAAGATCAGATTATTCGACTGCTTGGTGAGCTTCAGGGCCATGATTGGTTGAGAACGATGGGTGTCAATGGAGTCACTGAGAGCCGCAGGAAAACTTTTGAGCCCGCCCGTGACCACTTCATTAAAGGATGCCAGGCCATACTCGAGAAGTTCCGCTTGTGGGGCCAGGAGGAGAAGAGGCGAAAGCTTGAAAGGGAACGCGCGCTAGCAGAGGACACAGACAACGATGACGACGAGGAAGACGAGGATCAAGAGGAAGATGACGTTGACGACAGCGACTGTAGTGAGGAAGCTGCCAGCACGGATGATGTTGACATGTTGGATGTGGAAAATGAAAGCGGTGGTGATCTCGCTAGTGAGGACGATCCCCCTGAGTATAGCGACGTCGATGCTGCCGCGCGCCAACTCCATGATGAAGCAATGGAACGGGCTCGGTATGCGTCCGCGGCTTCACCCTGGCGGACTCGAGGCGAGCCTCCTCCTACCGTAGTCGACCTTACACCCCGGGAATTTACTTCCTTCTTTGAAAAGAGGCACCAGAGGGATGCAGCATTGAATAAGGGACGACGGAGGGGGAGGACGGTGCTCGCCTGGGGTTATCCAGTTCCAGAGATGAGTGAGTATGATTTCGAGCTGCCTGATTTTTGTCTGGATGAAGATACCCTGAAAGCACATGAGAGACAGAAGAGACGAGACAGGCGTCAACGCAAGCAGGAAACTGTTCCGTCAGACGCATAGCTTTGAAATGTCGTATCCCCCTGCTTAGCACTGAGGATGAGATACGGGAGCAGTGGACAGTCACGGTGTCTACGTGCGCTGCATAAGCTACCTAGGTAGTGTAACATAACATGAAGAACTTGTACATTTAGGCGTAACGGTGTAACGTGTGCACTGGGGGCAAACATGGCCTCCGGAAATCTAGTGTGCTTGAGAGTGCACCCCCATGTACGCAATGTCAGATCTGTTGCCTTATACTGAATGGTGTCTCTTTTGGGTAATTAAATGTTGTCTGTTGCCTGACTGTCTAGGTAGAGAACTAGACACTAACAACAACAACAACAACGACAAAAAGAGACGACTCTTGTTTACAGGCCGTACTGCTTCATTCAAGTAGGGCTCAAAATAGAACGAAGATATATATAGTGGTCACAATTTGTGATCCCAACATCCTTCAGCGCTCTCCTGCTTCGTGATATTCCCAGAGCAGGGCGGACGTATTTGTGTTCTCTACTTTCCATCCTGATTTACGTGGCTGTTCAATCCCTAGCATATTAAATACCTAGTGGACCCTATTGAGTGAGACACGATCATGGCTGGTACAATGTTTTGGAACTTACTATTTGGCAATATTAAGAAGCTTGTCTGAAGAAGGAGAGTCATATTAGTTACGGCGGCGGTAGCCTACGAACCTAGAAACAACCTCACATACATCTTTAGAATAGCCTTGTTCTCCGCTCCAAATGCACCGAGTCAAGCCCCATGAGTGACTCACAGCTGGTCCTTGTGCTTTGACATAAATCATAAATCGCCACACCTAGCATACCGTGGACGTTATGTAAGCTGTGGTTGAATCTAAAGGTATGTAACCTTAAAGATATCTGCCTTTCAAGGAATAACAAATACCAGGTAGGTACCATCTTACTACGTACGTATGTACGCAGGTATAGATGCAAGTGCCCTTACATTAGACTGTCAAAGTGTTCCTACGTACCTGACACAGGTAAGTTGGATTATGTAGCTATTTATTCTCTGGTACAGTATGGATGTATACTAGATGTACGTCTCGATGGGTTCACCTGGAATCTTAATGTTGGGGGCTATCTGGGTAACCTGATTACGTAACAAGGATCTCCCCGCCTTACATAAGTAAGGAGGTACTTACCTTCGGTGCCTAGGTAACTTAGCTTTTCCTAGCAGGGTAGCCTTAGGTACATGGTTAGTGGTGTGGTTGCACCAGCAATGACGAGTGACAGTCGCGGTTAATCTGCTCTACCACCTGCAGCAACCTACCTAGGTAGAATTAACTCTCCGCAGCCTCAACACAACCACCACTTTTCTTCACCCATATTTCCACTTGCCTCGCTAGCTACCGATTGTCTATTCGTAGCAACAACACCAAAGAACACTACCTCACCGTCACCGACACCGCTCATGATCACGAGGACTTAGGTCCTATCGCGCGCGAAATGCCTGGCGTCGTGGAGCCAGAGCAGCTCGAAGAACCCGAGCCTGCGCCAATCGAGCTGCCCATCGACGACACGCCGCCACGTCCCTACGTTGTCTTCAAGCAGCATGTCGAGCTCGACATCGACTTCCGCCAAAAGCGTGTCCGTGGCCGCTCCCATATCCTCGTCGTTCCCATCGAGCCTGATGTCTCCGAGGTCTACGTCGATGCCCGCCAATGTGAAATAGACATCAAGAACATCACCGTCTCCAACTGCCCTGCTCTGGCATCCTACGAAGATCCCTGCGACAAGATAGCCACTCCAGATGCCTACCAGTGGTCGGCGCCGCAATGGCCCGTCAAGAAACGCCGTATGGAGCGACTCCTTCACCACCGCCGAAAGGAAGTCCCTGTGATGGCTCACGATTTGGCATGCTGCCAGCCTCTAGATGGGTCTCTTCGCGTTACACTGCCCAGCGCCGACGAGGTTAAGAAGAAGAACCGCGACGCCACCAAGGCTGACCAGCAGGAGTTGCTTA